AACTTAGAATATTTGATCTGACAGAATTCCTAGTTTGAAATATCTAATATCTATCAAATCGGGTTGCAGAGATATCAGACTTTGTAGCAAAAAACTCAGTTCCTTTGATTCCTCTCAAATTCAAAAGTGGTCACACTGGATATCAAGATCAAAATCAATATTTTACACAATAAAGGTTGACTTCAGATTATTCAGTGGGAGTAGTTTATGAATAGGTTAAAAATTGAAAAGGAAAACTTTAGCATAGTATAATCATACTTTACTATAATGCTCATTGGTTTCATTTAGTAGTGAGTACAGAGCCCAAAATTTAAAAGAGTATCGTTGAACGAAACTCCCGGGTTTCCTTTTTGGGGTCTTATTATTTGTGTAGATTTTGATTTAAGAGATTCGAAAAAAATGGTAAAATATGAAGAAACTAAATAAAATAATATTTCAAAACAAAAATATCGATATCCACAAAACTGCCTAACCAAATTCATGAAACCCGGGTTCTAAAACTGGTTTTCATAACGATACCCTGTCTTAAGTTTTGGGCTCTAGAATTAAATTTTTCTTTCTGCATAATTGCATTTATTTTGTAACTTAATTAGATTAAAACAAATAAATTTTTGGGCATCATTCCTTCTTTCTCCTTCCTGTAAACTTTCAACTATCAGATCTGTAAATGTTTACCCCTCTTTCTTTTCGTTTCTAATTTTGTCTTCCTTTCCCTTTCTTTAGTTTTCTTTCATTCTTTTCATCTTTATTTTTCTCTTAATCTTCTTTCTCCTTTTCTCCCCTCCCTTCCTTTCATGTACGGTTTTCTTTCTCCTTTTCTTTCCCCCTTTGATCTTCTCGTCTCACTTTTCTTCCTTACATGTATAGTTTTCTTTCTCCTTCTCTTTTCTTCTCTTACGTTTAAGTGTATTTTTTCTTTAATCACCTGTCTCCTTTTCTCTCCCCCCTTTTCTCTTTTTTTTTCGTGTACGTTCATGTTTGTTTTTCCCTTTACTCCTTTCTCTTTTTCTCTCCTCTTCTCTTCCCTTCTCTCTTCTTTCCTTTCTATCTTTCTTATTTTCTTTTTGTGTTTCTCCTTTCTTCTTCTTCTTCTCTTTTCATCCATTTTATCTTTTCGTTTTGTTTGTTCTCCTCTCAAGAAACCTGCCCCCTCCCCCTGCCCCCACCCCTTAAATCAAATTTAAGGATAAATAAACAGAACAATACATGTACACAAATTTATGAAGTTATATTTTATTTGAGTGTGTTTGTGAACTTAGGTATTCAGGTAATTAGGAATGTGTTAGGGTTTCATGCCAAACAAATCCCAACATTAACTACCGTAAAATTTATTTTTAAATTTCAGCAACTCAAATTTCAAAAAACATGTTGTTTCCGCTTCCTTCATTGTTGAAAATAAGTTGATACAGCTGAATCTAGAAAGTAATTCCTGGAGGGGGGGGGGGGGCATAACCCCTCCCCCCGAACCCACCCTTATTTTTGGGTTAAAGTTAGGTAACTGCTTTATTACTCCTTTCTTCACTCTCATTTAGAATTTAGTTCAACATTTCGAATGCTAACTTCTACCAAAAATATTGATAAGATAGAATCATTGTAAAAGAAAGATATTCGTCTATTGATGGGGTCACCTAGAATAAGTTACACAGCGGAAGCTTTTTGGGCTTTGAACACATTCCCCTTCAAAAAATTATGAATTTTTAATTTTATAAAATTTTTATTTCAATTTAAAGAAGACCAAATACCACCAACATTCAAAAAAGATTTCACGTTATCAAAAAATATCAAAAACGCACATCTTAGAAACATCTTAGAATCGAAGAAAGGAAAGACGATTTTACAAAGAAAAGACTAAAAAAATTAAAAAGATTAAAAAGAGTAAAATATATATAATCAAACATAAAGGATGTCAAAAATCAGCGCGAATTAAAAAGATGCTTAAAAATGCCCATATTGCGTTAAACCTATACATTTTTCACAACCCATAAAGTTATTTTTTATTTTTTCCAAACATTACAAATAAATCCACCACTATTTTGTATTAAATATAATGTAAACGATAAATATGTAACTTTCCTTTTCCTTTATTTCTTTTTTTATATTTTTTTTAATTCCGTGGAAATATTCCCACAACCTCTATTTTTGAAAGTTTTCAAATATTTTCCCCTTCACCACTTACTTTTATATGTTTTTGTTATTTTTCATGAATAAATGATTACTTACTTATGTAGCGGAGCTAAAGACCTGTCTCTGAGCTCTAACCTAGGTGCCTCCCCGTAACCGGATAGTAACACTTACTTACTTACCTATTTACTTTCTGACGTGTCACAGTTTAAGGTAAAAAAAATCATAATAAGTAAGCAATTCATAAAAAACACAAAAAATTACTGATTATTAACATATATTACTTTTTGTTTATGTATTTTCTTCCTTCTTATAGTCTTTTTTGAATTAATCTTACACCCCCCCCCCGCAACTTCCCTGGCTCTTTTTTACCCTATTCCCCTTTCACAACTTTTTATTTATACTTATATTATAGGCTGATTTCAAGCAGTAACTACTAGCTAGACTTGCCAAAATCAATTAGATAGTTTTCTTCAGGCATATACCATAGATAACAAATTTAGGACATAGATGAAATATAGAGCAGAGATAAAATATAGGACAGAGATAAAATATTATAGGACAGTGATAAAATATAGGACAAAGATAAAATATATTCCATAGATCAAGGAATTGAGTCTTTGTAACAAACTCTGGTTTTCTAATCCCTATATCTTTTCAACCCAGTGCAGTAGACCTTAGATATTTCAGATTATGAAATATGTTTATAACCAATCCAAGTTTGAAATATCAAAGGTTTACACCAACCGGTTGCAGAGATAAATGGATAAGAACATTTGAGTTTGTGGCAAAAACTCAGATCCTTCAAGACAATTAGGCGAAAAAATTAGCATTAAAAAAGTTTGAGCTTATACGAACTAGTTTCTTTTTTCACTTAAAATATTAATACACAATTTGTAATTTGCATAATAATCATAAAACCCAAATTAACTGTCCTCATTAATTGCAAATAGAAATGGAGGTCAGTTATTAATCATGTTTTCTCTATATATTTAATATACAATATTACATTATAAGGGTGTACGTTTTACAGTTTTTAAAAACTTGTAAAAACTGCAATTTTGATTTTGTGATTAAGAGATTAGATTGTGAAGAAAAAGTTGAAGACCCCCAGATTCTTGTTGGACACCCTCATATTTTTTATAGGAGACCCCATATTTCAATTGGAGACCCCATATTTTCGTTGGAAATCAACAAAAATATTGGGCCTCTACCGAAAGTATGGGGGTCTCCAATAAAATATATGAGGGTCTCCAACGAGAATCTGGGGGTCTTCAATGAAAGGGGTTCTCGAATAATACTCCAATGATGATGATTAATATACAGTGGAATCCATTAAACAGTGGAATATCAAGGCGACATTCAGTCATTTTCTGTATTTTCTGTATTTTCTGTATTTTCTATATTTTCTGTACAGGAATTGAGTTTTTGCCACGAAGGCCGATTTTCTAGTCTCTTCATCTTTTCAATCCAATATTGCAGACCTAATATATTTCAAACTATGAGATCAAATTATCTAATTATGAAATATCAAAGTTACACGCCATCAGGTTGCAAAAATATAGAGATTATAAATATGAGTTTGTGGTGAAAACTCAATTCCTTTAGTAAGATATACAGTGAGAATGTAAGATATGTGGATCTTTATAAACTAATGTGTGTTCAGGGTGCTCAAAGTCGAGAAGTTCTCCAGCTTGTCCTACAGAGAACCCTTATCTTCAAGCAACTAATCCTATACAAATCTCTACAAATACATTGAATCTACCATTATCTTTCTTACCGTTCAAATTACAAATCTAAGATTTTAATGTACACCTTTTCTGAAGCCTATTTTATATTCTTGAAATTGAGTCTAATTTTCTAATATCATACACGTCTTTAAACAGAACTGTCAATAAGTTTTATAAATGCTTGAAAGTCTAGCCACTTTAGTTTTAATAATTGGTCTTGTCTTTCAGACCACGATGGGTTAGTTGCACCCTTCTAACCTGTTTTCGTTCTCTTTCTCCAGGTTTATAAATCATCCAAGATTTTTATATTCACATGGAAACTTTTACTCCATATTGCTTGATTCTTTTCTAACGGATGGTTTATATAAAATATGTATAGATTTGTTGTGATAATTGTAATTTTTCCCTCAAAAGTTCCGTGCAGGTCCCCACGCACTGAACCAGGTGATTAATTATGAACATTAAAAGTTGAGCTTGAAAATTATCCTGAATTCTCACAATCACCTCAACAACTCTTATGCTAGGCTGGCTCTGAGTTCCTGTTGATCTTAGAGCTTTAACCTCTCCACTGCCTCGCGGAGCTAAACCTATCTGCATCCTTGGTCTCTGGGATGAAGATGCTCTCCTCTCCTCTCACCTACTAATCTTGACACCCTGTGCCTTGGGTAGGTCATGAGTTCTTTACGTATACAAGACTCCAATCTCAACGGAGTCCGAGTGTTCCTGTGTCTTTGGACGCTTGTTTGAGTTCTCTACATACAACTTTCCGATCGCAACGGAGTCCGAGTGTTCCTGTGTCTTTGGACGCTTGTTTGAGTTCTCTACATACAACTTTCCGATCGCAACGGAGTCCGAGTGTTCCTGTGTTTTTGAACGCTTGGTTTGAGTTCTCTACGTTTCCTCTGACAGTATCCTAGAGACGTCTCCATCTCTATGTACCAGACCTCCGACAACCTCGGCTTGGTTGTTCCCACTTCTCCAGCATCTCCGAAAGAAGGAATCTATCTTCTCCGACACCTCTGACGGAAGGACCTCTACTCTGTATCCCTGATCTAAGCTCCTCTAGATCAAATACAGGTACTAATCTTGATTACAATTCTTGTGATCTCTGTGAGAAAGTCAATACTTGAGAAGGATATTTGAAGATACACATAAAGATCTCAACTCAACTCTATAAAGCTCATATTTAGTTCTTGTACCCGAGACTGTGGTGTATTCTGAACGCTATAGGCTACAAACCTCCGGACGAATCAACATTGAAAGTGAATTTTTCTATTTATACAAAATTAAATATTTGTTATATAAAATTGAATGTTTTACCTGGAGAAAGTTTTATTTTTAAAGGCTGGAATTCTATTTTATCGTAAAATTAATTAACCCTGGACTGATTTATTGTGTTTTCAGTTCACGGTTGAGTCCTGTATTAACTGCCTACCTGAAATATTTACATAAGATTTTATCAGTGCAAATTGAGGTGAGCCGAAGAGAAAGAGTTCATGCTCGCTCTTATGTTTGTAGTTATTACCTGGTTCCTAAATGTAAAATTTGAGCCCATAGAACCAGACAACTGTAGAATAGGAAGACGACATTAAAGCAATACATAAGTGTAATTGATATTTTTAAAAAGAAAATATTTTTGATATAATAATATTATTTATGATAAGTTATTGAACCACTTATCAAGTGAAATGAGTCTGTTTTAACTGAACATTTGTTGTGTCTCATGTTCAGTGGACTATTTATAGTCATAATTTGAGTCTGAAAGTAGTTTTTCTATCCCAGAGTTCTCTGTAGATGAAAATTCAACTTATGAATTAAAATAGGTCTAAATATTTCATGACTTGAGCCCAACAGTAGTAATGCTTTTTAACAGTTGTATGGGTCCAACGTTTAATAAATGATTTTAATATTAAATACCAGCGTGTATTGGCTCACTAGTTAATATAAACTCTGCCAATACAGATCCATCAACTGATTAACATTGCAAAATATGTTTAAAGATTTTAATATTAAATAATGGGAACAAAAGTTCTAAACCTGACAATGAGAATCGGGTTTGGGTACAGATGTTAAGATCGACGTATTGCAAAAACGTTTTAGACACTCAGTGTGAGATCTGGGTCACTTACTCTTCACAGTTATGAAAATTAAGCATTAGTGGACTGGAAACCTGATAACCTTTGACGTCAGGTCCTGCATTTAGGCTTTACCTTGACAGCCCACTTATATGCAGACCCATGGACCCAAGCCTTTCCATAATTACATAATTTTAAAAAAATGTTCAGTCAATATTTATTTTGATTTTACAGATTTTTCTATTGACATCTCTAACTTTTGATTATGTGGGTTTCACTCTATTTATTAAAACAACCTTTTTTGCATGTATGATGTAACATCTTAATTGAGATTTTGGTTGTTAGTGTTGCGGCGCGGCGTTTTGTTGAGAGTCTTCATTAATTTTTTTTTATTCATGATTATAGTGAACCTTTTTTCTTAGAGCACAATTAGCTATTCACTACCGTACCCTTTTTAACATTGAGGCACTTCTAACAATTTCTTATTTAGCTTTTCATGTACAAATCTGCAAGTCAATTTTATAGAAAAATTATAATTCAAAAAAAGTTTAAAAATTTTAAGTGTATCATTGTGAAACGGACATGCCACGCTTTAAATAGATGGCCTACTACAGTCTCTTTAAATAGAGGGCCTACTACAGTCTCTTTAAATAGAGGACCTACTACCGTCTCTTTAAATAGAGGGCCTACCACAGTCTCTTCAAATAAAAGGCCTATTACAGTCTCTTTAAATAAAGGTTCTACTACAGTCTCTTTAAATAGAGGGCCTACCACAGTCTCTTCAAATAGAAGGCCCATTACAGTCTCTTTAAATAAAGGTTCTACTACAGTCTCTTTAAATAGGGGGCCTACCACAGTCTCTTCAAATAGAGGGCCTATTACAGTCTATTTAAATAACGGGTCTACTACAGTCTCTTTAAATAGGGGCCTATTACAGTCTCTTTAAATAGAGGGCCTATTACAGTCTCTTTAAATAGAGGGCCTACTACAGTCTCTTTAAATAGAGGGCCTACTACAGTCACTTTAAATAGAGGGCCTACCATAGTCTCTTTAAATACAGGGCTTACTACAGTCTCTTTATATAGAGGGCCTAATACAGTCACTTTTAAAAGAGGGCCTACCATAGTCTCTTTAGATGGAGGGCCTACTACAGTCTCTTTAAATAGAGGGCCTACTAAAGCCTCTTTAAATAGAGGGCCTGCTACAGTCTCTTTAAATACAGGGCCTTCCTAACACAGTCTCTTTAAATAGAGGACCTACTACAGTCACTTTAAATAGAGGGCCTACTACGGTCTCTACTATAACAGTCTCTTTAAAATTTACCTCTATTTGTAATTTTATCAAACTAAACTACCTTAACCTGTAATTATTGAATTCCTCCTAAACACACATAAGCTTTGACAAATATTATAAATGATAAGATATAGAATCTATGTTTAGTAGTTACACGATATTGCTAGGACAACATGGTGACGTGTATACTGTATACTATAAAAACTGTTTAGTTTATTAAAAGATTAACCTTTTATGGCAAAAAAATGACAAATTCTTGCGGTCAGCGTGGTACTTATACTATAAATTATAATTATATTATATTTATTACTTATCCTTTAAATATTGCATTACATAAATTCCGAATTCGGTTTATTTGAATGCAGTTGCAATATACCATAAGCACACACCTCCGCCCCTTTAGTAAACGTAAATTCAACCTATATGAAGCATAAAGTCTGACCGCGCCAACCTTGTTGTACCGGCTAGTCCTGTCCATAGAGCTAGGTACAGTACAAACTGGGACCAGAAAGGTTGACCCGGCTCGGAAATTCAAATGTACTACGGCTGCCCGTGTAATATCTTTTAACTTATTTTTACGACTAGAGCTCGATTTTCAAACATTTATGGAGAATATGAAAAAATCGTCTTTGTAATTTAAAATCCTTGAAATTACAGTGATGAATATTCTCAAAAGTTACACTCGCATTATATAAAAATTTAAAATACGAGTTGCCACAAAAAATTGAGCCCGATCTGTTCTGTTTAGACATTTATTAAATTCAGACAAGCAAGCCAAATATATATTTGCTGAGGCCGAATTTAAAGAATTTGAGCCGTGCCTTAAATTTAAGCCGCGACTCAACTATGGTTGGTTCCACTTAGAATTGAATTCAATTTTTCAAGATTTAAGTCGGCGCTCAATTGAAAACCGGTTTGGAGGAATTTGAGACGCGGCTTAAATTCATTAAATTCGGACACTGGTTGGTCTAAAATAAACCGATCTTTCAAGCGTTTTTCTGTTTTATCTCTAATCTAAATTTGTTGAAATATCTAAACATTTTATTAAAGTTGAAAACTAACCTTTCTATGAATGTATTGATTAAATTCTAAATTAAGTGTTGTATAGAATAACACTTGTTAGTATAATTAGCTAAGAAAGATTGACTCTTTATTCAGTTGAATAAAATGATAATGAAATATGTAAAGAAAAAAACTTTTTAATTTGTGTAACAAATAAAACAAAAAAGGTTGATTTTTACGAAAGTTCATAAATTTTTGCAAATTAGAGGGATCTAAAAAAGGCCTGCGAGTTATTAGGTATAGGGTTGCAATACATGTTCAAACACAATTTTTCAAGGCCAGCTCACTGAAAAATTAGACCACTAACTTTAATAGTTCAAGTGCTAGGTAGGTTTAAAACAAATGCCGAAAAAAAGGTCGGAAAAATGCAAAAAACAACTTTTTTGTTTTTGACAAATATTAAGATATGACACATGTTCTTACATCCATTTCTAAAGGGCTTTTTTAAAATGTAGTTTTTATATCTGTATTAACAATAGAAAGCTTTCTTTAAAAAAAAACCAAAAAAACCTTCATATTACTTTTCCTTGAAAGTAAAAAATATCAGGGTGGCAAGAAAAATTCTGTTTATGTTTAATTACTCTTGTGTCCCATAAATCATGAAAATACTAGTTAAATATTGTCTCTGAAACTCAAAAAAATCTTTTTTAGCAAGGCTGTACACCCAAAAAAGTCGAAAGTTAAATCGCATTATTAATTATTCGCAACAGTTGCTGTCCCCTAATCAATACGGCCTTTCCTATTAGTATAAAAGTAAATGGAAGGTAGTTACATATTAAAGTTAATTTAAAATGTATGAATGAAACAGTTCAGTATATTAATCATGATTTGAAGGTTTGTTAAAGAAGTTAAGAACCTGAAAAATTGATAACGTAAGTTTGTAAATTTAAAATGTGCAAAATTAAATACTTTATGAGTCTAAGGACTTCTCAGTGTAATTGTATGCAACTGTACGATTAGGATTTTTCAGAGGAAGATTTAAAAATCTTGGAAAACTTTGGATACCTTTGGACCAATTAATCCAATGATTATTGTATTGTATGTTTTTGTTGGTAAATTAAAAAAAAATTTATATGAATATATATGCCATCTTCATCTTTTTTATAAATTTGTTAAAATATGAAAGCATAATGACACCTTAGGTCAGAACTTTTATGTGGAGAATCGTTAATCTTGAAGGTTCTATCTTGATATCCAAAATGGGCACTTTTATATTTGTGAATAAATGCATTTTCCCTCAATTAAAGTTATTACTTACTGGTAGGTCCACCAGAGGAATTAATTTCATGCACTCTTGATCTTGAGATTTACAACACAAACCTTTAACTTTATTAAACTTGAAACTCTTGATTGGGTTGTTGCAAACACGATGCAAGCTCTCACGTAAACAAAAATGGATGCTAATTTTACTTATAACTCATTTAAAACTAAAGCTAAAAAGGTCATTTTTAGGGCTCAGTTACATTTGCCATAATGTGTTTGCCATAAGTAACAAATGCCATAAGTTACACTTGCCATAATTAAGAATAAATTTAGTTAGAATTAACCCTCGTATTTGATACACCATCTACTTTGGCCATTTTCTTGATAATACTATTCTCCTGCTCCATGACGGCCTATTTAGCAGTCTGTTTTCATGAAGTAGTTCAGTTCAAATCAGGTTTGAGGAAGAAATTCGGGTTCGAATTCTAGCTGAGCACCTTTTAATCGAACATTTCCAATGTGTCTCTTCTGTAGACGAGGCATTGGCTACATAGGAGTTGCTGTCCCGATCCATTGGTTGACCCTAACTTGTGCAGTGGTCTCAAAGGTCACCAAACGGTCGTCCATTGAGAAAATATGGAGCTTAACTCACATCAATTGTTTTGCTTTAAAAGAATGAGAAAACTAAAGTTGGGGATTTTCATGGGAAAATTTCCGGCATTTACAACAAAAAACGACAGATTTATAACTTTTTAAAAATTAGAAACATATGACAAAAGTAATTATAGAAAGTGTAATTATGGCAAGTGTAACCATTATGGCAAGTGTGACTTATGGCAAG